TTTCACGCGTTAGAGGTACCACTAGACCATCAGGGCTATTGGTGAAATGGTTATGTTTTTTATTCTACTTAATCATTTTCCCTTCGACTCTATAATTAATGAACACACTTGTTGAGGCCCAAAATGCTTTTTGACTACAGCACTTTGCAACACTTTGTCCTTACCACTAGACCATCGCGCCTACACTTGCTGTAACTCTTTTTTATTCTACTTAACTCTTTCTCCTCTCGGGTGGAATTAATTAACAACGACGCCTGACATTAAAATGCTTTTTGACTACAGCAGGATTCGAACCTGACTTCACACACTTGCAACACTTTGTCCTTACCACTAGACCATCGCGCCTACACTTGCTGTAACTCTTTTTTATTCTACTTAACGCTTTCTCCTCTCGGGTGGAATTAATTAACAACGACGCCTGACATTAAAATGCTTTTTGACTACAGTAGGATTCGAACCTATAGCTTCACGCACTTGCAACACTTTGTCCATACCACTAGACCATCTCGCCTACACTTCCTTAACTACTTTTTTATTCTACTTAACACTTTCTCGTCTCGGGTGGAATTAATTAACACACACCTGAAATTAAAATAGTTTGGACAATAACAGGGATAGATACTTAGTTCTCCCGCATGCAACACCAAGAGACGACCACTCGACTAGTAGGTCTATTCAGTGCTGACAACTATATTTACTTCTACATAATCTCTCATCACCAAATTATAGTTAAAAAAAATTTAGTTGCCAAAAATTAAAGGTTTGAGCCTTTACTTTTTGGCACGCAAATATTGAGAAAAGAGTAAAGTCCTTAATATTTTCTTGATAGAAATTTACGACTCATGCAGCTTTACTTTAAGTTTAACCGTAAAAAAATTGACGAAACTGCAAAGGGCTGACCACAGGCAACCATGCGTAAACAAACAAGGGGACCACAGGAAATTTTTTAAAAATTCAAAAAGTACTTCAAACCACTTCAAACTTTCTCAAAATTGTCTTTTCTCATCAAAACAATCACTTTGGACAGATACAAAAAATATCAACATGGAAAATATTTTATATTTGTCAAATGTTAAACTGATACGCAGTGAAAACCATACCTGTACTGTATGTTACATATATGGGCAGAGGTATAAACCTTATCTTACACAGATATAGGGGTGAACCCCTGCCCCCTGTATGTCACATAATGTTTTCACCCCTATATCAGCTTAAGATAGAGTTTATATCCCCACTCTTATAGTATATGAAATATAAGGTGTTCACCCCTAAATTAGTGTAAGATAACGTTCATACCCCTGCCCCTATATGTAACATAAGGTTTTTACCCCTGCCCCTATGTGTAACATAAGGCATTCACGCCTACATCAGTGTAAGATAAGGTTTATAGCCCTACCCCTATGTGTAACATAAGGCATCCATCCCTACAGTTTAAGATAAGGTTTATACCCCTACCCCTATGTGTAACATAAGGCATTCACCCCCATATCAGTGTAAGATAAGGTTTATGCCCCTGCCCCTATATGTAACATAAGGCATCCACCCCTACATCAGTGTAAGATAAGGTTTATACCCCTGCCCCTATGTGTAACAGAAGGCATCCACCCCTATACCAGTGTAAGATAAGGTTTATACCCCTGCCCCTATGTGTAACAGAAGGCATCCACCCCTATATCAGTGTAAGATAAGGTTTATGCCCCTGCCCCTATATGTAACATAAGGCGTCCACCCCTATATCAGTGTAAGATAAAGTTTATACCCCTGCCCCTATTTGTAACATAAGGTGCTCACCCCTATATCAGTGTAAGGTAAGGTTTATACCCCTGCCCCTATGTGTAACATAAGCCAAGGCATTCACCTCTATATCAGTGTAAGATAAGGTTTATACCCCTACCCCTATGTGTAACATAAGGCATCCACCCCTACAGTGTAAGATAAGGTTTATACCCCTACCCCTATGTGTAACATAAGGCATCCACCCCTACAGTGTAAGATAAGGTTTATACCCCTGCCCCTATGTGTAACATAAGGCATCCACCCCTATACCAGTGTAAGATAAGGTTTATACCCCTGTCCCTATGTGTAACATAAGCCAAGGCATTCACCTCTATATCAGTGTAAGATAAGGTTTATACCCCTACCCCTATGTGTAACATAAGACATTCACCCCTACAGTGTAAGATAAGGTTTATACCCCTGCCCTTATGTGTAACATAAGGCATCCACCCCTATATCAGTGTAAGATAAGGTTTATACCCCTGCCCCTATATGTAACATAAGGAATCCACCCCTATATCAGTGTAAGATAAGGTTTATACCCCTGCCCCTATATGTAACATAAGGAATCCACCCCTATATCAGTGTAAGATAAGGTTTATACCCCTGCCCCTATATGTAACATAAGGCGTCCACCCCTATATCAGTGTAAGATAAAGTTTATACCCCTGCCCCTATATGTAACATAAGGCATCCACCCCTATATCAGTGTAAGATAAAGTTTATACCCCTGCCCCTATGTGTAACATAAGCCAAGGCATCCACCCCTATATCAGTGTAAGATAAAGTTTATACCCCTGCCCCTATGTGTAACATAAGGCATCCACCCCTATATCAGTGTAAGATAAGGTTTATACCCCTGCCCCTATATGTAACATAAGGCGTCCACCCCTATATAAGTGTAAGATAAAGTTTATACCCCTGCCCCTATGTGTAACATAAGACATTCACCCCTACAGTGTAAGATAAGGTTTATACCCCTGCCCTTATGTGTAACATAAGGCATCCACCCCTATATCAGTGTAAGATAAGGTTTATACCCCTGCCCCTATATGTAACATAAGGAATTCACCCCTATACCAGTGTAAGATAAGGTTTATACCCCTGCCCCTATTTGTAACATAAGGTGCTCACCCCTATATCAGTGTAAGGTAAGGTTTATACCCCTGCACCTATGTGTAACACAAGCCAAGGCATTCACCTCTATATCAGTGTAAGATAAGGTTTATACCCCTACACCTATGTGTAACACAAGCCAAGGCATTCACCTCTATATCAGTGTAAGATAAGGTTTATACCCCTACCCCTATGTGTAACATCAGGCGTCCACCCCTACAGTGTAAGATAAGGTTTATACCCCTGTCCCTATGTGTAACATAAGGTGCTCACCCCTATATCAGTGTAAGGTAAGGTTTATACCCCTGCCCCTATGTGTAACATAAGCCAAGGCATTCACCTCTATATCAGTGTAAGATAAGGTTTATACCCCTACCCCTATGTGTAACATAAGACATTCACCCCTACAGTGTAAGATAAGGTTTATACCCCTGCCCTTATGTGTAACATAAGGCATCCACCCCTATATCAGTGTA